GTATTTTTTGCTATTGGGCAGAATCGTGGATCTGGAACACTTGCAATATTTATTTGGACTTTATTAGAAACCATGAAATATACAACATCTATCAAACTTTAAAACTCCGCATTTAAGCAAATCACCTGGAATTTCCAGCATTCTGATAAGAGGGATCAGCTGTACGTGTGAGTGTTGTGAAGGGTGGAGCAAAATAATACTTACAGAGGATGGAGAGCAGAACCAGACCGAGCAGTAGCAAGAGGTTTGTTTGGATCGAGCCAGCATGGCTGCAGTCCATTCTGTTCTTCTTACAGGTGCACACCTGAACTTTCATTTCTGTGTTGTTGGATATTGGAGGGACTCCAGAGTCAGTCAGAACCAGTGGCAGGTTGTAATTGGCCTTTTTCAGACTGTGCAGCAACATGATCTGGGAGTGAGTGTCTGAAAACCAGCAGAAAAAAAAACTTAAAGGGGTGGTTCAATGGTTTTTTTCTAGGCTTGATTGTGTTTATGGGGTGCAGTCTAACATGTGTTAATGCTTCGTTTTTTAAAAAACGCATTATTTTTCACATAATTTACCTTTATTGTCGTTTTTGTAGGCATTAAACTGCCAGAATTTTAAAAGACGATATCTCCGTTTGCATTGAACTTTCAACTTCGTAACTTTGCAGATATTGTTTATGCTCAAACTGCAACATTACACACTAACTAACGTTAAAAAAGTGAAATCGCAATGAACCACCCCTTTAAAGTAGCATTCTGGTCACTTTACATGTCAGTCAGAGAGAGTATCTTCAACTCTACACAAGACTATAAGCCACTCGACCTCAAATCACATCACCAGACCTCTCTTATACTGTCTCTCTCGTATCATAGCATCTGCCATTGATTCTCTTCTCAAACAGCTGACAGAAGTCTGGAGATTCACATGCCTTTCTATATTTGAGTGTGTGTTCTCAGGAGAGATGGGTAATCGAGAGTCTGCTAAGATAAACCCAAAATACACTCAGCTATTTGGTCAGGGTGATACCTAATGATACACACACTATCTGGGACAATAAACCGATCCTCTCGCTCTCAGCAGCATGTGACCCACCTGACCCTGGTGAAAATACTAGAATTTTCATGTCCATTCTGGTTAGGTGCTGGTATAGCTGGTAGACTACACTATTAAATATAAAGGCCAATAAAGAACATCTATGGTTCAACTTTAAACATATGGAAACTTTTCATTGCACAAAAGGTTCTTTATAGTAGAAAAAAGGTTCAAGTTATTAAAATGTTGTTTACACTAAGCAAAAAAAAAAAAAAAAACTGTGACCACTGACACAGGATTGCCAGGTCTGTGAAACAAAACCAACCAAACTGCTAATCAAAACTATAGCCCAATCACATTTTTTCCACTGTTGTCTCCTCTGTCGAAATAACACTTTAACCCGTGGAGAAGAAAAAAAAACAACAACCTGCGGCAACAGTGTAGAAGTAGCCCAATTCCATGGGAAAACAACAAGACTTGGCAACACTGCACTGTAAGATTCTTTGGGGAACTCAAAATGGTTCTTCTATGGCATCACTGAGAAAACCCCCTTTTGCGACCTTTATTTTTAAGAGTTTGCCACAATAACACTATTGATCCTAGGGATGCCAATATTCAGTAATTTTCATGATTGAATATCATGATCGTAATCAATTTTGCCCAAAATTCTAAAATTCTAAGCTATTTCAAAGTGGCACTCCATAACTTCCTAAAATATTTTTTTTAGGAATTTTCATGATTGATTGTCATTACAATTAACGATCAATTAAATGCACACAATGTTTGCAGTTTAAGTAATCAATTTATAGAGAATTTTAGTCATTTATGCCTGTGTATGCAGCGTTTACACCCCCTAATCACATTTTTAATAAATGTGCTTGTGCTGAAAATGATTAATCAACAATAAATCAATTAAGCTTAATTATATTAAGGTAAACTTTTCCTTTAGTGAAAGCACCTTTCGTATTTCCTCAAACTGGCCCTAGAAATAGCCGGCATGTGTTTAACCGTGGGTCAGTGCCTGTTTCTGTCCCATCTGAGAATTAACTTACCATTGATCCTGGAGATTTTCCATGTTTTCTCCAGTCCTGGCTGTTTGCCAAGCTCGATCTTGAAAGGATCTGTATTAGGATGAATGTCCTTGTCTCGTCCCCCGATCACCACCACATTCATGTCTTTAGCATCCTCACACACGCGGGCCACGGAGGGGAAGACATATGGAGCGTTGTCGTTCTCGTCCTCTATAGTGATTATCAATGTACCTGTGCCCGAGGCAGGTGGACTACCTATTGAGACAAAAGGCAAAAAGTTAAAAATAATAAAGTAGGGCAGGACCAACAGTTTAAGTAGTTTTAGTATTACAGTATTTAGATCTCAGATTTTTTTTTTAATTCATTAATACTTTGAATTTGCTTATTTTAATTTTAGCTTTAAATTTAAGTAATTTTGTTATGTGTTATTGTCATTTTATTCGCTTTTGTAACATGCCTATTTAGTTTGAATACATTTTTATTTTAGTTTTAGCAATTAGTACTTTAACTTCAACTTATTTTGTTTCAGTTAGTCAGTAAGGCAACATTTCATATAGATAGATAGACAGACAGACAGACAGACAGACAGACAGGATAGACAGATAGATAGATCGATAGATAGATAGATAGATAGATAGATAGATAAATAATCTTGCTTTTTTTTTAACTTTAATCTCACATTTACTTTCTATTGTATATTATAAAAAAGGAACCAAGCTTCCATAAAGACCAACAGAGAGTATTAAGAAAGTACATTGATGTCAGTTTTGATTTTCACAATCACATGAAAGTCCTTCACCAGACTGCAGCTTTCTGGCTCTATATGCCAAATCAATAGTTCTCTTTTAAATGCACAAGAGGATTGTATTTAGCACTCATCACTGCACTCAAAGCACCAACATCTCACACCGACTGACTGTTACTGTATAGCAAAGTGGGTAAAAGACCTCTTAAAACCAGAGGCACAAGCAAAAAAAAAAAAGGTCAGACTAAATGCATCAGAAACACAGACAACACCAATCAATGTCTATACAGAAGGAAAAACAACAGCAAATCAAAACATTCAGTTTCTGACTTGGATTAACAACAATTATCTCGATTTGAAAGAAGCCTCATTTTGTATCAGATTGCACTTTACTGAATATTGCACAGACAAAAAAATACATTATTCAAGGCTTTTGAAATATTCTGTTTCTAGGAGATTAGCAGTTATTGCAGGACTGCATAATTATAAACAGCCCTGGAGGTCACTCGCAATTAACACCCGATGACAGGATCAGTAATTACAGAATGATTTTGTCCTCATACTGCCAGGAATGCTCAGGCCTCAAAGGAAGAAGAAAAGGCACGGTGTCAAAACATGGGAGCAAGTAATGTCTCAGTAGAAAAAGAAATCAGGTTTGTTCCAATTGTGTCTCTAAAATACCCCTGCAGAATAGTGTTTGGAGGTAGAACAATGACGTCCTTGCCATGTTTTATTGATTTTCTGCTCAAAAAGATTGTCAAGTACGTAACAAGACGTTTCACAATATGAAAAGAATGTGTGTCCATGGACAAAAGCAAACGGTCTCACCTAACACCATAAAAGCAGCAGACTTCTCAGTATGCTTCACAGAAATAAACATGTCCCGCCATGAGCGATAACAGCGATCTGATTTATAAATCATGAACTTGTCGTAAATCGTTGAAACCGATGGCTAGTCAACACCCCTGTTAATGTATGCACGCTCAGCCCTGCAAGAAGCCGATTGGAAGATCGCGTCGTGGGACGGACTTATGCAGCGGATCAAAAACCCAATGCAGAACAGATTGCTTGCTTGCTTTCGCCTGTCGCCGTATTAAGAGCACTCCAATTTGTGCTAAATATACTAAGAATCACCGGCTCGCTGGACGACCCTTGATTTAAAGTGTAAACTGTCAGATTTGAATTCAGTTTTAATCAGGTTGACTCAGAATTTTCAGATTCGAGTCCTTTTAAAACCTGAATGAATTAATAATAATTAATTCCCTTACAAATGAGTTAATTTCATTACAAACTCTTAAAGAATTTAGAAGTGGCTTGTTTGTGCATTAGTAAATACGTCCATTGCTTTGGCATATAGTAGTGACTGAATATAGATTAGGTTCCTGCTCATAACAACAGCTATTGACCGCTTTCTGACCCAAACAACAAGATCAGATAAAAATCCCAGAAGCATGCAGGGGCGAATCTAGAATATTCAAGGGGGATTTAGGGGGCTCGGACACCTAGCAGAGCATGAGCTGATGTGATTCGGAGTAATATTTTTGTCCTTAAAGGAATAGTTCACCCAAAATTTACTGAAAATGTACTCAGCCTCAGGCCATCCAAGATGTAGATGAGTTTGTTTCATAATCAGAGCAGATTTGGGGAAATTTTGCATTACATCACTTGCTCACCAATGGATCCTCTGCAGTGAATGGGTGCCGTCAGAATGAGTTCAAACAGCAGATAAAAACATCACAATAAACCAAAAGTAATCCACACGACTCCAGTCCATCAATAAGAATCTTATGCCTGTTTGCAAGAAACAAATCAATCATTAAGGCACTTTAACGTTAAACCTGTTTCTGGCCAAAATTCCAGTCCATAATCCATAATAAAGCTTCCTCCAATGAAAAAGTCCATCCCCTGTTGTCCTCTCAAATCAAAATGCATCAACATATTTGTTTAGAACCATTTTGGACCATTTTTGCTTGTAAAGAGTGCTTGATCTGAGCATATTTCTCTCCTGATTCAGACAATATTACTTTTTCACTGAGAAGTGGAACGCTCTCGCAGTGTTTGCATACATTCACAGATGAAGTGAATTAAATGCAACATTGTCAAATACACAGATGTTTCAGAAATGTTTTCATAAAGTAACAGAAACACTTTTATACTGCTTAAAGCGCCATCTGTTAATGAATAAGTTAAACAGGCGGCTGTAGCGCCGATCAAAGTTGGACAAAAGCATTTTTAATGTAACCAGAATGCATTGTTTTTGACATGCGGCAGCCGATCTTTGCGGCGCGGCATGAAGTCGAAAAAGCCTAATCTCTAAAGAGTGTGTTTTTGGATGCGAGGAAAAGATAACCTTTTTCAGTGTTATGTGAACAGTGGATGCAATTTGTTTTTCCAAGGCAGCAACGGAGTTTCTCAAGCGTGTTTGTTTGTTCCCGTTATTTCGGTGACGAATGTTTTATAACAAGGTACATTCTGACAATGGATTTGCACATCGTTTGGTACTGGAAGATGGAGAAGCCCCAGTGATAAAAGATCCCGGTCATATAGGAACTGCTGTAAAACTGCATCAAATGTCTGGGATTGTTAGTAAGTGTAAGTGCTCGCGACTCTTCAGCTCCGCCACGGCTCGCCTCCAGGAGCTCGGCTGTTTTCGGAGAGAATCGCAAGCTGTATCTTTCTTTTATAAATCTGATAAAACTGAAGACTCTTCGGAGATGTGAATGATGCAATACTACAATTATAGGTATTCAAGATTAACATGAGATTGGCCAAAACTGTGTGTGTTATGTCCCCTTTAACCTAGTCAAGTCGACTTTATTTTTATATAGTCTCAGCCTCAGACGTCACACCCTCGGACCGTTGGCTGAATGTCTGATGCATAGGGCACACAAAAGTGGAAACACTTCAGGTGCTTCGAAGTCATCATCGGATTGGTTAAATTATACAGGATTTCCGGGAGACGTGTGTGTCAAGTTCTTCAACGTTCCGCTGGAAACAAAGATGCCGTGACACCAAACCCTTACGAAAGAAGAAAGCCATCGTGTTTACAACTGTGACGACGAGCGCTTATCAGGATCAACACACTGTACAAGTTTTACACACCGGTCTGTTATTGAGGCAACATTTCCACGCCCCGAAATGTGCCGCTGAATGAAACGAACTGTGATTGGTTGTTTGACATGTCGGTCAAACGGCCTCATGGGCGGGCTTGGCCAAAGAAAGCTGCCATGAATTCCAAACCTTCAGCCGTCAGTCTGAAAGTCTGGCTACGCGAGACTAATTTTTATAGCACTACAGCACAAATTTAAGCAGCAGGAAATAACGACCATGGTGCAACCGGAATAATTTCTGCCGCGGCACAGCTCCAAGAGAAAATGGTAAACGGTCTACAACAAAATAGAACGAGCTTCGGTGATAACTAAGCGAATATTTAATTACTTAATAATACTGATTTCTCGCTAGAAATAACTTCAGACACCATCTTTATTTTGCTCAACCATCACGGGATAGGACACACAGCATTGTGGGTATTAAGGCAGCGAAGGATGCATCTATTCTGCCTTTAAATATCGACCAGATGAAGGTATCTCAGAAGGCAGGAAGTGAAGCTAACATTGGATTCGACGTGTCTTGATGCCTTCCTACCTTGAAATGTGTCCTCCAAAGGCAGCATTTTCCAGTTTCGGATGCAGCCGTCAGTTCAACGTTGATTCTGTTCTTGTATCAGACACTCTTGTTCTGTCTAGTCGTATTGGAAACATGCTTGTTCTTAAGCTTGGTTGTTATTGAGCTCTCAGCTGATCCCCATCAACCTATGGGAATACGACACCTATCTAAGCATTCATATATAAGGTCCCTCAGTATTATCAGCAGTTTTCGCATTGCTCAATAGCTAATTAGCCTCCTCCATCCCCAACTCCTCCTCTGTCAGTCAGGATTCAGCCTTCTGAGTCTCCTTTCAATCAGACTAATTCTACAATGTGTACATAACATTATTGAACTTTAACGATATCTGCAATACATTTATGTTGGTTCTGTTCTGTTTACCCTGGGGGGGCTATCGCTGCTCTCCCTGCTCTCATCCATGCTAGGCTGCATGGATGCGCAGGGAGTTCTTGCCCAGAACAGAACCATACCGCCAATCCAAACTGCATGCTAATTGTCAATCATCTTTGACGATAGTGGTCCTGACAGAAAGCAATATTATGCATACAGGACTCGTATTAACACATGTTAATTTTTGGGTGAACTATTCCTTACAGTGTAAGATGTTGCAAGTTTAAGTCTTCCTTGTCAACTTTTTATGAATAAACATGAAAATAGCCTCTGTTTGTCAGTAGATCAGTAACTGTGAAGTATCTGGTAGAATGTTATTGTGCTATTTCACTGGAACGGAGAGTGTTCGGTTGAGAGATCACATCTGTGATGAATGTAGACACTAAAAAGGCCTTTGGATATATTCATATTTAATGTACCACACTGCTACACACTCAAGTAAGGTTTATACATA